GGGATGTGGAGGCGAGCTGCGCCAGCGGCGTGAGACGAGCCCTGCTCGTGCCTTGCGGATTTCATGTCCGTTTCCTGATCTCATATCACCTGAGGGACTTGGTGTCATCACCTATGACCTCGATGAGGCACAGAAGCGGCAGCTGAAAGCTGCTGTATCCTTTGTGAGAATGTCCACCTATCATATCTAAATTAACAAAACATTAAGTTCGTCCCAATGGGGAACATAATTGATGAAATGAAGTCCAAAAGCTTTTATCGTTCATATTCCTTTTATCTAACACCGATAAAGCGCTAGCAAAACACTTCCAGAAAGTCATAACAGAATAATTTTTACGTGCAACCCCTTATGGGGACACCGGAGAAGGCGTCGGGTATTTTTTTAGCCTTTGAAAGTAATTTCTAGGGGTATCATAGCATGGACCGCCTCTCGGCCGAAGAGCCGTATTGAAAATGACAATTAAAGCATAGTACTGGCTTGGCTAGAACGCCACGTGCTACAGTTTAACAAAAAAATCAGAGAAGGGATATAGAGAGTCATGCATCTATCTCTACTGTACGTCAGAGGCGCAACCACGACGCTGTGAAATCTTTGGTGTAAGACACGGTTTGTCTTACACCTATCGATAATATTATCCAACCCCAAAAACAAGGTCGGAACGCAAATTTGACTATGAGCCGTGATTTTCTGATATATACCTTACTAAGACCACGAAAGACAGTCTTGAGCGAGCACTTCAATCTACTAATACTAAAAAATTCTATCTATGTCTTTGTTTTCAATATAATCTTTACTAAACCGGAAAACAGCTGAAGCTGGGAATCCGGCATGAGAGCTACTCAGAGAGTAGAAAGAGCGTTTGTTGCGGTCTCCGGAATGCGTCTCCGGGATAAAGCCATCGATATACAATGGAAAACCCAGTGAACCCAAGCGATCAAGTCGCAAGTTGTACGATCCTCCTGTTTGAAGGTCGATGACAGTGTCTGAGTGCCTACCGTACGGGGCATCACAGCCTCACGAATATGTGGCGACCGATTTAAACACCTGACTGAAGTAGTACGAGAGACATACTCTTCCAGGCATAAACTCTTGTTAGGATTGAATACTACCCTTCAAAATTAATGAGTGAAAACGTTAGACAATGAGGTTAACAAATCAGTACGACTGTTTTGATATTGTAGGAACAGGGACTGAGCTCATTATCATGGACGGTTCAGTCGTTGAAGAATCCCCAAAACAAAAAGTGTGACCTTTTAAACTTTATTGTTTAAATCCGTCAAAAAACATCCAGTTGTCTTTGATATTCGCTCTTTACGATGGATTTATACTTTGAAGTTGTTAAAGTACATGCATCATAAAGAATGTTAACGTTAGCTTTCGAGCGTAGAAGTAAAGGATACAACAACGTAAGTACAGGAGTTCTGTCACTCGTGTTACGGCCAGAGTGAAGTGTTCATGACATGACTGATCAGATTATTGATTTTAAATACGCCAACGAGATTATCAAAAGAAAATTTAATGTCGCAGACGCGTCTTCCTTTGCGAACTCTAAAGCGAGTCGGGTCAGAAATAGTCATCCTACTTCAGATTACGACGTTCTGATAAAAATGTCGGCGATATGCAGCTATGACTTTGATGCGGACGCCCATTTCTAAAAATGAGTGGGCTGTCGAATAGCGCGGTAAGGTGTACCATGTACGGCTTTCTCAGCTTAGTCGATAAAACCAGCAATTACACATGCGAGTAATTTCTGTCCGCTGCACTGCAGTGAAAACTTTGAGCAGGATGCTCCGGAAAGGCTGATGACGACTAAGGCGCTGAAGTATCCACAAGCATTGAATTATGTGGTGACACAGCTCATAGTATATAGTTACAAATTGTATTCGTCCAACTCGGAGAAAATTGCATCCAATCAACCCCTACGAGTTGTGCTTGAGTTTATACAATCTATTAATCTGTTTGCCAATACATGCAACTTATCTCCGGCACTGACAATATATCATTGTTAGGATGCTTTATTGTAAAACATGATCTTCGGGTAGATCCTGCAAGGTCAGTCAATTGGTCGGAGCCACTATTCCACAGACATTTTCAGATGTGGCTTAACCTGACGCTCAAGTATAGCGCCAATAAGTTGTCGGATCGTCCGGTAATTTTCCCAGAATAGTAATTGGTGTTTAGATGCAATAGAATACGCGGTTTTCAAGCAGCAAACCGACGTCTCATGCGCGCCCAAGTTTGGTGCTTTTGGATCCGAACTAAACTTCATTAACGTCTGTAATCGCCATTGCCATATTATATGATTTGCTTCAAGACATTGCCAAACGACATTAAAACTTTATTGTGTTAAGTATCTGAAGCTTTATTTCCTCAAAAACTATCCAGTACATTGTATGATGCTTATGACTTGAAGTATGATCTTGCCGAGCAAGGCGACACCACCCCAGCGCTAAGACATTCATGACATTACGAGTCGTTCGTCGATACAGCCGGAGACATCGTCATTATGTCTCTCAGGGTTATTTACTAGCCTTGTCGCTTGATGTGGTGGCGAAGGGGTCTTTGTGGTGTATACAATGGTGATGCTGCGTGTCGACTATGCTATCCGTTCGGCAAACTTGTAGGGCATAATTTGTAACGGGACAAGTTGTGTATTTTTGCTTTCTCCGTGCACGATTGATACAATTCGCTAAATACGCTACGTGAAAAATTATACTACTCTGACATTTCGCTTTGGTGTTGTAATACATATCCGTACGTACCGAGGCATCGGTATTTGTGAGAACTACGGAACTTTAATTAGGATGAGTTCGTGGTACAAGAGCATGGACGTGCTTTGGAACTTTGTACTGACGAGCCTTCTGCTGACCAACACTGTATGCATCTTGCACGAGAAGCGATTTCTGCGTTCGCGTGCGTTCATGGCTCATGGATTGCTGGTTACCTTTATGTTGTATCTGTGGGTTAGTATCTGTGTTACTTAAAACTGTACTGCGTAGTTGGTTGGCACAAAGTGAACTCGCCGCAGGGTATGACGATCCAGAATCAAATTGTAGTTTCTCTTATCGCTGTGCAGAATTTATGATGAACGTCTGGGGATTTGATCAAGCTAAATGTACCGAAAAAAAGAGACACTAACGCTTTTGCTCATTCTATATTTAATAAAACACCGTTCACCTTTCGATGCAGTTCCACTCATGATTATTAATACTCTGATGATCTTGCTCGAGCTCGTTATGGGCTGAGCTTTCTTGCCGAGTAATGTGTCAGCTAGTAAATACAATAGCAGCTATAATGTTGTTTTGGCGAGAAAAACTCGCTCGATGCCGGTAGTATTGATTCGTTAAATAAAATCTCAAACTCTTGATAGCTATCTCATCTTCCCTATCCCATTGAAAGGTCTTCAAATTTTTCATGTAAAAGACGTGTTGCTAATGCAACGATTTTCGTGATTTGAGCTAGGCTCCCACCGACGGCCTTTTTGCATGTGTCTTATCAGCACATTTTAGAGCTGATAAGTGCATGCAGATAAGCGATTGCCTCTTCCAGCCTTCTCCACGAAAGTAAAGATAAACATGGAGATACTAGGCGCTATCCTGTAAGTTTGGGGGAAGTCACCAGATACTTTTTTTCTTAAAAGATGCGGTCTATCACGGCTTGGTCGTCTTAATGACGACTAGCTGTACCAAGCGCAACGTCGACTTCCGTGCTGCGTGCTTAAAACTAGGTTGCCTGAAGCATCCGCATTTACGAACTCACAGAGATTGGGTCGTCTGCTTCAACCAGGAGCTGAATCCAGAGATCAGAAATATATTCTGTTTTTAGTCATACATAATCCTATTATACATATTGTTAAATATTCGAAATAGCGGGGCCCGTATAAAACTAAGTTTGTTACCAGACGTAAGGCTCACAGTCTGTGAAGGGCAGGTCCTTATTCGATACAAAGCTACAGACAAGCTTTGTTGACAAAAACCTTTGTCGGGGAACGGCTTGACTGTCGCCTCATCGTAAAACAGTCTCGCTAATAAGGATACGATTAGCCATCTTACCCAGATGACCCACACGCAAACATAACCCATTAATCGTCTCACCCGTGCGCACATATGTGCTAACCCACTTATACTTGTTAGATCACCGAAACTTAGCGCTACTTAAGCAGCATGTCTTTTCTTTTCCAAGTCGTCCACGTAAACGAGCATCATTTGCCTCGAGTATTATTCTGTACCTGAGGTTTTCATCGTGAATCACCACTACACGATTAGTGTCAAGCGAGACAGTGCTGTAATACAGCAAGTTTGAGAAAATTAATGCGATGCAGACGTAAACCAAGCGCTTTAATAAATTGGTATCTGAGTTCTCAAAACCCCTCGCTTCTGAAAGGGTTCAGCATCGCAAGAAACGTATGTCCAACCAGTACGCTGTACTTCGCCTTATCAATTGGCAGCGGCGCCATTGTGATGGGCGGCTATTCATAGTTGAGGTGACGCAACATTGCATTTGAGATCGCAGCAGGCCGACGCAGCTTATACTATACCATGAAGTTTTCTCTGCACAGAAAATTATCTTGACATTTTCTGCGAAAAGTGTTGTGACAATGTCAGTGTGCACAATGATGTATGATCTTTATAGATCTCAAACATCTATAAGCAACGCAGGTTCACCTTTACTTGACGAGTGCGTACCAAGTTTTATGAAGATTCTTGTCATAAACAGAGTAGGTTCCAGCAAACCAAAATATTAACGCAATCACGCGATCATGATTATCGGAATATTGTCGGAAAAATGTTTAGCCCAACTGTAAGAGCCGAAGCGTCACAGACGACGTGAATTGCCGATCAAAATTCGGAAGAGACAGAGTCGCTGAGCGCGGATTACAGGCTTCAAAGACACATCTTCTGCCGAACCTTACCACTTGTTAAAGTTATTTTCACGGAATTTTGTAAGGTCGAGCAATATCAACATAGCTAGCACTGTACTTCTGCATATTTTTGGCAAATGCAGATTACAGGTTCTTTTGGGAGTCAACCGACAATAGCTTCCATCTTCGCGTGATCCTCGCAGATAAATAAAGCAACCCAAAAATAGAATACGTCGGCACCAAAGTTCCTTTATCTATGCTGGTGAGTCAGTCATTATGCGCAAGCATTCGCTCGCAAGTGGTGAATGTGACATTATATATCCTCTTCGCGTACATTGCACGACTACGGACGAACATATCGTCAAAAAAGATTTGTGTATAGCCACGATTTGTCCCGAAATGCTGTGATACCCGATAATTCGAGAATTAAATGTCGTTGTTGCAGCAGCCGCATAATCAGCCACTACCTTTGCGTTCCGTCCGGGTATCTCACAATAGTGAAAGTAATATCGCTGTCTCTCATAACCACTTGGTAATACCTATCGTCCAGGGTGAGGGTTTGATCAAATTGCAGCCAATCCTGTAATTTTCAGCACTTCTGTTCTAGGAATCAGTGTTTGCGCAGATACTGTATGTGTATTAGCATAATATACGCATGTACAATTCGCTACTTCCATTACCCTTTCTAACAAAAGAAGTCGCCATCCCAGTTTAGAAATGTGCTATCGTTAATTAAATCCGCTGTGTGCATCGCAAAGGGGAAAGAGTCATAGACGTCACTTAATTCTCTAGGTTAGAGTCATTGCCGTTGAGTATAAAGTGAGCGTTTGGGCACTAAGGCAAGTTTTGATCGCACTAATGATGATCAGCTGAGCTCCTCAACCGGTACCAATGGTACTTCTTGGTAAACCCAATGTCTTGCAACTACTTTACCAAAACCCCGCGGTATATCAAAGGCTGAGAGGGAGAACATGTAACCTCTAGGACTATCCTGGCCACTCCTCTCAGAATTAATAATCACTCTCGCCACTTATCCGTGAAGGTACACTGATTCACATGGTGGGCCCTATTTACGGAAGCGCTGACTCGGCACCCTCGGGGCAAAGATGAGCCATACTCTTTCTTTAGGGCCTGGCCCTCATATTCGCAACTTACAAACGCCCATAGTAATTCATCAGCACTCATACGAAACCTTGCGATGCCCAGTCTTCATCGATCCTGGCACAGGAGCCAACAGCTCACAACTACTTTTATCATCCCGCAGGCCAACACTCTGGGGACCACATCATACAGTCATCCTTTCCCGTCTCAACAGCGGCACACTCTGGAGACCGCGACAATAAATCTATTCGTTTCATCCGGAAAACTTGCCTCAGTGTTGCTTTTGCTTTTAAAGTCTAATCAAGGTATATAGCAATATCAGTGCAGCAAATTCAGATAATTTCATGTCCTAGACAGAAACTACCGCAGCTTTTTATTCACACAAAAAGCTCTTTTGCTTCCTGGCATAGGTGAGAAATGAGTTGTCAAAGCTCCTAGGAGGGAAGTGCGTGGCGATATCGATAAAGAAGATCATGGCTTCTGTCGTTGCGGTCACGAAATACATGATTGATATCGTGTTTTGAGCTCAACCCAAGATTAGACAATGTTTTACACTGTAAAAGCGCTTGAACTTCACTTTGCGGTTGAACATCAACTTAACCTGCACATTAATATACACTGCTACGCTTTCACCGGTCAGTATCCCCGTTGTGAAGCTCACGGACATCCTATTTTAACCTGGCATATCAATGCCCCCACGTACGGAATTGCACGACTGATGAATCTCCGTTAGCGATTCGTCATTCACCCATGCGTTGAAGCTCGCCCCTTTGTACTGTTCAGCCAAGTGCGATGAGGATACACAAAGCGCAGATTTTTTTCTACCACCGCAGATTTTTCATCTTTGAATATCACAGCATATCTAAAGTCCGTCGCCTCTGGCCTGCTCAAACAACTGACAATCCCCGCATCTCGTCTTTTCCTATCGGTTCGAAAGATGAATTTCGCAATAAAAGCGATGCTCCCTACTTTCTCGACAGAGGTATGGTGGTTGTAGGTGGTCTCTGTTCGATCGCACCATTGTAAGACCCTCCATAAAGATGGTGACCGTTACCGCCTCCGGGTAAGGGCCTGACGCTAGTATGGTGATTAAACCTTTGGGCTCTTGAATACAGTTAGCCATTTCTTGCATTTTCTGACGGGAAGACAAGAATTTCGAGTGCTCCCGATACGCCTGGTAGGCGATGCAAACATTCACCGCTATTGTTTCAAATCGTCCCGCGTCAGAAACGCGACATTTGTAGAAATATTGCACGTAAGTGTTCAATCACGAACTCTATCTTCTTGGTTGGAGACCACAAGCGCGACGTGCTTTGGCTGCTTTTCAAAGCATCGCCGACACAATGGTAACCTCAAATTTTCTCATCGAAAAATAGCTTTTTACCCGCCTTTAGAGAAGTGGACGCTCAAACTACAGCGGTTTTATAGTGGGAACGATTTGTTCTTTCTAGTTGCTCCGTTGGGGCGCTCATAAATGTTCCTCTCCAGCATATTTTCAAAGCTGCTTAGCAACTCCAGGCGCGATCATTGGTATTGCCCTTCGGTTGCCTATTCATTCTCTTATATCGTTAGGACCTAAAATCGATTTAAGATTGTTTAATTGGTCATTGTGACGAAGACAAATACTCGAAAAGCTTATTTCGTCCTCTCAGAGAATATAGTTCTATCTCGACCCAGTTGTGGGATTGACTACAAGTGCTACCAAGTGCAACGGGGTTGACGTACACTTTTGCAGAAAAATTTTGACTGTCAGAGCTTGCGTGAACAAACGCGCAGAGGTTGGGTTCATGCGCTTCGACCAGGCGCAGAATCGGGTTCCTTAAAGTGATTAGCACTGTTATTTCGCGTTGCTATCTCAAGAGTATGTTCTTTTTTGCTATTGACCTTAATACTTTTTGCGGTCTTACTAAACTGCATTTATTTTCTGACCACGTCATCATTTTCATAAATACCGATATTCCGGTATGTGTAAATAATCACAATAACATTTAGTGTGATGTGAATTTCGCATAACCGTTGGTTGAATCTGTGATTAGCTTTATGGCATTTTTACCATTGTCGACTAATACAATACTGCACGTGGATCACATCAGAAATCTCGATGGACGTTTACACAATTAAATTGACACTATAATGAAAGATGATATTGCTAATAGGCATTTAATCTATAGTCTCTTTCTTATAAAGCCGAGCTTGAACGGCATATATTTACCTTATGTGACATATGCTTCCAGTTTTCAAAAGTGATTGCTTCATGTGTACGTCTCGCATTGCTCCAACGAGCCGAGAACACCCATAGATAGGCCAAAAAAGTGAAGTCTGCGACGCAATAAACGAGGAGCAAAATAGTCTGGTAAAGGAGTGGATCCCATATCGACTAAGCATTCAGAAGTGTACTTCTTTTTTGCGTTCTTGCTCTTTTTTCGCCCTTGACGAGGTGTCATGTGTGTTGGAAACATGTTAAACATATTATTTGGCTTGACTTTGCGCTTAGGATTGAAACCTTGAGGATACGGATCGATCAAGGACTTGCTGTTCACGTACAAAACGTCTGCCGTCACAGTGCCAGGATCCGATGTTGGCATGTATTGCAGCATTCCGCTGCAAAGTGTTTTGGGATGTTTTTTAATGTCTTCGTTAGGCACCGAATTTACCGCGCTGATACCCCACGGCGAGAAAAAGTATGGAATACGAGCTAATTCGAATGCCAACCAAAATGTCTCTTTATCACCCCATGACAATTTGAAGCGAAAGCGTTCCTTTGTGATGAACCAGAATAGAATGTCCATGACCGCCTTTCCAGCCCTTGCCTTGTCAATCAATACCATAGACGAATCCATTTCGTGAATTGTTAAGCCATTAAATGCGAAAGAGTCAACCATGTGTTGTGAAGGAGCATACCCGTCTGAAACGTTAAACCTGGCGTAGTTAAACTCATGCAAGAGTTTGTGCAAATATATTTCCCCACTGTCATTGCCAGTCAAAAATCGTTTGCCGGGTATAACACGGTCGTAAAAAAACGTGGTACCTGTCCTTACGTATCCATCAAGGCTGCGAACAATGGCAGGATCCCTAAAGATGACATTATCCGCATCCAACAACAGGACATGGCGAACATCTGTGTGATAAATTGCAAGCGGCTTGATCCACCAACTCTGAAACTTCTTCGCCATATTAGCCGTGATGACTTTACGAGCCAAGTAGTCGGAGCACACATCCACCAGTTCCAATCGGTTGTCTAGTCGGAACAAGAGATCTATTGATTTATTGGACAGCTCACGTATTCCACAATAATAGACTTCGATGAGCTCTTGATTGCCAAGACAACGGAGCTCTCGGATTAATGACACACCCAAATTCAGCATCTTGTCGTGGAGACACAATATAATTGCACGTTCGCGACCAACTGTCGTGTCAAAGTTCTTGCCGCGCCTGAAGAAGGATGTTGTTGGATGTGTTGTGTTAAATAGGGTGCTGTCGATTGGTGTAGAGTCCCGCGGGTGATTGCGCAGAGTGGACCTGAGATTGCTAGTGAACCCGACAAACGCATTATTCACGAGGACGAGATTGATGTAGATGACCGCTAAAAGGGATAGCGTTACCAAGACAGGCAGCAACCGAGACTTGAGGAAGGAGCTAAAAGGCATGAAAGTGTGCTTTGGTATCAGCATTCGTGTGCCTTTGACCTTCAAAGCCTGATTACTGAGTGATTCCCGAAAATTTTAAATTGCGACGCGACCAGTCATAAAAGGGGCTCATATAAATCTGTGTCGTTCTCAAACAATAGACGATGCTATACCGAGTCTGAGGACTAGAATCTAGACACCACAAGTACGACAAATCTGATCAGAGCTGCTGTCTTTTAAATTTACACTCCGTAAATTTGGACGATCAAACCATTATAAAATACCAGATGAATTTTGCGAAATTTTGAGTAGATCGCTAATCACAAACATTTTGAAAAATTGACGCAAACAAGCACACTTGGTATTGGTTTAGGATAACACATACCTTTAGCGATATACTTGTCGGGGCCGTTAGATTTGCTTGGTATAGTCATGTAAGCATGCACAGCACACACCTTAATTTCTGTAACTTGAAAGTAAGAAAAGACAGCTTCATCAGTGAAGCTCGCAATTTAGTTAACTAAGTATCTCAGAAGCTGTGGCAGATGGTGCGATTACCACGATTGCGTCAGTCCGGATATCAAACTGGACATTCAAAACGGCTTCATAGGGGGCTATTTTATTAATAAAAGTAAGAGCGCAGAGACGGTGGCAATGCGGTCCTGCCATTAGCTAGTTATCGACAAATAAGATGTTACTTGTATTGTACTCGGCAGCCAATAGAAATTTTGTTGCTTTTTTCGAATGCAAATATTTGTTTGTGTCCCATTGTAAACATTCGGATTTCAAATCGGAATGTTTACATTACTATAGTATCCTACCTCTTGATAAGTTTATAAGCGAATAAACTAATACCTGCTGAAATCGAATTCGTTTCTCGACCTTAACGAAATTTCGTCACCAGCACGGCAGAAATCGGCCATGATTATTGCTAGTGTCTCTTTCAGATTTGGTGATATGATGAACTCGTTAAGCCATTATTAGCATTGAATACCCGACATTCCCATTTAGTGAGAATACCTGTGAATTTGATTTACGGCAGACTGAGGTCAACAACGAAGTAGTATAACTCTTAGAGCATTGAATAGATTCAATCCGACACTACAATATATAGAAAATCGAGATTGATGTCAAACAGGCGAAGTACTTTCACGACAATAGTCTGAACACTGTACGTTATGCTCGCAAAGGTCACTTCGGCAACGCACAAAGCTTAATATTTTCTAACATTTGTAATTTGCTAATAAAGAGGCGCTTGATGTAGAAATGCAACTTGCAACCCACAATTTACCGTGAATATACAAGAACTGCGGTCTGTACTAAGGTTCCTTCTTCGAAATGTTATGGCAGAAGGCATGTTTGCGCCATGTCTACCACCAGGAGATTCAATGAAGACATGAGGTACAGAGATTACATGTGTGACTCAAATATACTGCATTACCTGAATCTATCATTATCGCTCTCGCTACACTTAGAATCTTCCCACCCACCACCTGTCTCCTCATTTCCGATTCACACATTTGTGACGAATCATCTTTGACATGCCGACAAGAGAACACTGGGAGACAGCTTCGTCATTCTGACTCTTTTTAGCCACAACAGCGAAAGTGCGCATCAAATCCATTTGTTTCTTTCCATGTGCTCGCCGGCAAGCTACTAGTAAAGCGTTCCAAGAATACAACTATGCATGACAAACCAGATATCATGTCAAATGTCCGAATCATTACATATACAGGATCAAAGCGCGAGTAACACGATGATAAACACAGCAAAATAAAGTTCCGTGAGAGCGCTGGTTCATTCAGCTCTACTGCGAACGCGGCATATCAAGTGCTTCCAAACAGAGGGAGAAGTGATGATGGAATGTTAAACGCTTTTTAGCCCTACACATTGTCCCCCACGAAAATAAAATTGCTTGCCAGCATATTAAACCACAGTGAGTTGCTTGCTGTGCCGATGTGAAGCCTCCGCAAACGTTTGGGCCCGGGTGATCTGTGATAACCATGCACAAAAAAGTCCGCATAATAGCTCGTTGACCCAGTGTGAAAGATCCAAATCGATGCCCAAAGCTACATTGGATCGACTCCGTTCTCTGACGTCATGTTGCCAAGGAGAAGCTGTTCATTAGAGGTGATTAATTGGTCGTGACCTCTCAACATCCTAATGGACCACTTCTCATGCACGATCTTTTGTGGCCTCCCCATCCCGCTCAAAACAAAGTAGACTTGAAAAGCTTGTGATTGCGACTATTTTGCATTATGACTGAAAGATCGTCCGACTCAATACGAAAGTTCTTTGTGGAAAAGTACGGATGACTTCTGTCGCACCCGAGCGATTCAAGTGCAGCGCTTTGGAGTAGTGTCAGTGTTGCCACTCTTGCTCTTGCAGACAGACAAGCCCCCCTTGCTGTAATAATTACAGATATATAATTCATCTTATTAGTCCCAACTTTAACGCTGTCGTGAGTTTTTGGTGGTACGTCATGCGATCCCCCGTAAGAAATGGTCTCGAGCTTCGTAACTCGCAATGACGAGGCATAGCGTCGAATACGCCATAAGAATGGTCTGATGTGACTTAACTATCGGGCACAATAATCTACAGGAAAATAATGTACGCATAGTAAAGCATTATTATTGCTGAATATAGGTATATAGCACAAACGGTTTAAAGCTCGTGATTTTTTGCCAAAATTGGCATCGCGACAGGTAACGGATTATGACGTTGTGTTTTGTCACTCGATTAGACTGAATCAGCTTGTTTTGGCTTTCTCGACCTTCACCTTGATGCGGATAACAATGTATCAGTTAGATCTGTAGCTAGTAAATACTCAAACAGCTATATTCTATTCTCTTCAATAAATGCGACCTTGTTCATTTCACAGTAAATCTGCTGGATTGTAGTAGATAGCAGCTGCTGTCGCATAATTAGCATCAACTGTTACTAGCTACCTAAGCTGCTCTGCTGGTATAGTATATGTTTTAATTTAATTTGAGCTATTAAGTTTTATTCATTGAATATTACAGCTACATCTATTGCATGGTGTGCAATCCTGTCCCACGGACCTCTTCTTTCCGGAGTTCAATCATCGAGATGATTACCGATACTTTGGTACTTTTGAATACTCACAATGACACAGAAGCGCAACGTAAATCTCGTGTGATTGACATGGTATTAACTGAAATTGTATCTAGCTAGCACAGTCGAACAGAAGTGTAAGGCGTATGTACACAATAAATGAATGAATTCATACATTAATTTTGATTCGGATAATAATTTTTCTGTTATGATTGAACTAAGTAGTACATCTGCCGTCACAAGCATTAAATAAGCAATCAAATCTACTCGGTGCAACTGCTGTCAGCGAGTTTACCTTCTTCTGACAAGCTAATCTCGTCAATGATAGTCTAAGTGACCAAACAAATAGGCGTTTTTCGAGCGTGTAGTGACCGCAGAAAGTGCACATCAAGTCTTGCAACTCTTATCCCAAGCAGACATAGAGAAAAGAAGCTACGTAGCTTTAGTATATGGTAGTTTGAATCAATACGCTGCAACGTTCCTTTGGGAGGTTGAACAGGGCCTGTTTTAGCGACACGAATCCGATCGCCATAGGTTGTCGTCATTGGATAGCTGCTATCCACTTTAGTAAAAGGTACGTGCAACAATTGTGTGGTATGCGTCTCCCCGATCAATCAGTGGATATGCCGATTGCGTTTATGGCATGATCATATATGCCAATGTAGCCTCGAGTATTCTATTCTCTTCAGTTTCTGATACTGCAGATAAAATAGATTTGTCAGCTAGAAATGTCAGATAATTTAACGCGCACTATTTGCTAACATTCAGTCAGGAGCAATATTTTTACGGCAGAGTCCTACTGCTGTCAACAAAAAAGAGATGTACCAAAGAATGATGCCGTTTAAATCAATATCGTATCATACCTCACTTTGATGTAACTTCAGCTGTGTGGTATGCGCCGATTTGAATACAAATATTCGTTGTCAAATTGTTAATTAGCATATCATGAAGCAGAAAATATTTGTAAAACATAATTAAAGAGCACATATCATGTAACGGGGTTACATGAGAGTGACCCGTCACTCTCCCAAGGGAGCTGTGGTGTGG